TCTTTTATCGCACAAAAACCCAGCAAACACTTAAATATTTTGACCAGTAAGTTAAAGAAATAATGTGTAACTTTAGCTTCGGAACACCTCACCTATTATTCCTAATTAGAGCTCATCCGGAGAATGGCAGAAATAGCCGATATGTTGCGATTGTTCGCAGACACAATTCGACCATCAAAAGCTCCTACTTTTCCGCCATTTGAACGATTAAACAAACTTCCACAGCTGCAAAAAAAAAAAAAACCTCTCGAATGCTTCTTTTTAAGAAGTAAACTTGTACGAAACAATTCACGTTAAATGGCCGCCAAAGTGCGTTTTTACTACATTTTCCTATTTGATACTAATTAGGTCAAAATATGTTCGTGAAGCTGGCAGCCTAGCAGCCTGAAGTTGGCAGCCTACCAGCCTTGCAGCCTGAAGTTGGCAGCCTAGCAGCCTAAAGAAAACTAAGAAAAGTACAAACATGAAAACCGTCGGAAATACATTAGTAGCACTTCTTTAGATCATTCCACGCCTTTTCCAATATCGTGATCTTTATCTTTAAGATGTTGAACTTTATCGTAACATATTTTTTTCATTCTGACGCCTTGGAATTTGAAGTTAGCAGCCTAGCAGCCTGGCAGCCTAACAGCCTAAAGAAAACTAAGGATAACACAAACATGAAAACCGATGGAAATGAGTCGGTAGCACATACTTAGACTACTCCACGTCTTTTTTCAGTATCGCGAACTTAATTTTTTTAAATATTGAACTTTGCTTCTTTTTTTTATTTACTCTTCGAAATTTGAGCAGCCTAGCAGCCTGGCAGCCTAAATAAAACTAAGAATAGTACAAACATGAAAACCGTCGGAAATACATTAGAAGCACTTCTTTAGATCATTCCACGCCCTTTTCAATATCGTGATCTTTATTTTTAAGCAAAGTTCAATATTTAAAAAAATTAAGTTCGCGATACTGTAAAAAAGACGTGGAATAGCCTAAGTATGTGCTACCGACTCATTTCCGACGGTTTTCATGTTTTTACTATTCTTAGTTTTCTTTAGGCTGCTAGGCTGCCAGGCTGTTAGGCTGCCAACTTCAGGCTGCCAGGCTGCTAGGCTGCCAACTTCAGGCTGCCAGGCTGCTAGGCTGCCAACTTCACGAACATGGTCAAAATTGGGATCTTCTCAGATACACCATCACTCGTCGACTTTGGACAAAGTCGGGAAAGATCCAACAAAGAGCACTGAAGTGGAAAACGAAAATACAGTTTGATTTGATCTGTTAATCACTTAAATATTCTGACAAGATTTAGTGAAGCTTCCTCTCAAGTCCCGAAAACAATAGTTAAAGTGATACCCATCCTTTAATGCATTGTACTTAAGTAGTAATAATCCCACCAAAAAATTAAATTTATCATCACTAACATGAAAAACGGTCTACTTTATAAAGCTTCCACAAATTATTCAACACTTTATCTCGTAAATAAATGTAAAGGGGCGAGGGACTATGAACCGCAAGAGAAACTAGCAATATTGAATACTTTTATCGTTTAAAGTGCAATTCGTACAATTTCTATTTGAATATGGACCATTTATCCTGGCCCATGCACCAAATTTCATTTTGAGAAGCTATTTGAATAATCTATTATTGTGAAGAGGAAACGAACTGAATTCTTTCTTTTTTATCCTTCAATAGTTTTCACCTCAGTTACACCCATAATGTCGTTTCAATTTGGAGTCCCAATTTCAAATTACAAATTATTTTCCCATGACGTTGTCAGAAATTCCTCCATTTTTTATTTGTTCAATATTTTTTGTTTGCTTATGTTTTGATAAAGCTGTCTCAATTCTTACACAATATACTGTATTTACATTCGATTATATTTCTGTTTATGTTGCACAAATAACGTTTTAAGTATTTTAACAAAACTATTTTAACAGTATAGCATTTGCAACACACAGTGGTATGGTACGGTTTGTCCATTGCTACATCACATTCGTAGTGTTAAAGCGAAAAATATTTTAAAAGTCTTTATTCTGTATGTATGTCATTAAAACGCACTCGTCGTATTTTCAATTCGTGGCAATTTTTTGCAACCTTTTATATAACAGCAATGAGTAATCCGTAAACAATTTTGCATTCGCGTCTTTGTTTAGTAAAATTTATTTAATAATTGAGCGGCGTCACGACAAAACCAACATAGTGTGTTTGCGACCAGCATGGATCCAGACCAGCCTGCGCATCCGCGCAGTCTGATCAGGATTAATGCTGTTTGCTATCAGTTTCTCTACTTGTAATAAGGTTTTGTTAGCGAACATCTAGATCCTGATCAGACTGCACATCCGCGCAGGCTGGTCTGGATCTATGCTGGTCGCAAACACACTATGTTGGTTTTGTCGTGAAACGGCTCATACGTTCGAAAGACACGTTAGGCCTCAGGAATGAATAAAGCTTTCGATCTATAATTAGTGCAAATATATTTTTTATAATGTTATAATAATAGATTTGAACATGTGAGATGTGTACATGTATATCATGAAGTGTGAAATAACACATCCAAACAAACTGCTATAAACTATTAAAATCGCAGCTAAAAAAGAAAAAAATGAATTTGGGGCTTTCGTGTTTTGTTTACTACATATTCATTGATTCACCTCAGTTTGAATTAAGGTGCAAATGAAATTGCTATTTTATAAAGTACGACATTTTTTACGAATACGAGTACATTAACTTAAACTTGATAAAACAACGTTGATTCTTCATTCTGATACTGAGTGTTGATTTATAAAAATGTAATATTTTGATTAAAGGTACAGAAACAAATATTTTTTTTTTTTTTAAGAAAAGGCAAACATGAGTTTTATAACATTTAAATAATGGATTTAGCGCATGTTAGATTTAAAGTGCCGCTAAATGATGGATATTTTGTCATTAAAGTAGCCAAATGTAAACAAAGAAGGATTTTGACTTCCAAGCTAAATACCAAATCATAATAACTGCACTTACTGCCGGAAAGCAACAGTGAGAAAAGATTCGTCCGGCAATAGGAAATAAAGTTACATTTGAAAACTAAAAAAGTACACAAGAAATGAAAAGGTCTGAGAAATAAATATGAAAGTATTTCAGGGGCATACTGTGCCTTTAATCATCGTGAGGAGGGAAATGAATTGAAGATTATGAGTGGTATTTACATTAAAGCAATTCATTAAAATCTGAAAGGCCAGATTATGTTTGCTGCATAAATTCACACCATACAATGTTAATAAACGTTATGTAAATAATGTTCAAATTTTAATGTGTAATACATGTTCCGTGAATTTACGAAAATTTTCGGTTAATTTACGTTTCTATACCTGACTATTTGTCAACTTCGTTGCTAGGCGGCTGAAAATTTTGTGTTAAGCCCGGCTAACTTGGGCACACGGTTACTTTACGGTATACTCGGTTATACATGGGTTAACTGGTACGAGTATTGAGCTACAATCGTGCCTGGGGATTGGTTGATACGAGTCTGACTCGAATGTTGCACGAGTATGTCCAAATACAGCATTGACGGTCAAGCAACCATTAATATCCTACTATTTCTTCGCCATCTATAAAAAATATCAGATCAATAAAAAAGTAATACTATTTTATAAATATGCCAGTATGTCATGTTACTTACTATGCATGTATATCCGTTGAATAAATTGTTAATGAAGTTCACAAAATTATTATTTTTGTTGTAATTTTAATCGACTTTTTGTCGTGGTCGTTGTTGTTTCTATACTTTGTTGTTTCTTTATGTTTGTTTTTATATGTTCAGGAGGCCACACTTAAAATTAAGTTATATCATTTGTTATCCACGATGCTATATCTTCGTGTGTTACCTTATTTAAATCAAGAAATTGTATGATTATTATTATCATAATGATTATTATGATTAATTGCGACTCTTCGTGTATAATTTAAAGACACAAGTAATATACATAATGCACGGAAATAATGGTCTTGAATTGGTGCGATTTTTAAGAGAATTTGGAGATTTTGCAGTAATACAACTCCCCAGTTCTCTATTGCATTTTAAGCGTTTTTTTTTAAAAAATTCACTGCCGCGTCAGTAAGAAATTATAACGATTTTGTCACAATCTTGGAAATTTGTGAAGGCTGACACGTGTTTATTTATAAAGTTTTGTACTTTCATACCATGTTCGAGATTCAATTACTGATTTAAAAAGACGTCATTGTGTCAGTATGTTATTTAAACACCCACAGGATATAATTATAATAATAAATGCAACTATTTACTTGTATGTTTAGTAATAGAAAGAGCATCAAAACACGAGGCTATCTGATTTGTACGAGGGACCATAGCCCCCGAGTATTAATCAGATTGTCGAGTGTTTTGATGTTCTTTCTCTTTGTATCATAGGCAAAATAAAAACATGTTCCATGTTGCCACAACATGAAACCGCAGAAAAAAGTAATTAATGAATGAGCATCTGGTTATGATATTTCTATCGCTATCTCTTTCTTTGCCGTCACAATAATTAAACCCCAGCGAAAAAGCCAATTAATGGGTATGCTCTGGAATGCGGGTAACTTATACCTGCACCCTGTTCAAGTTCTTTGCATGTATATGTACACGATTTCACTCTTAACACATTTTCAACAGAAGGTCCCCAAACTATGATACAATGAAAATGTTAATGTTAACCGACATTCATCACTCGTAAATGCATTAGGATAAATAGGTAGGATTGTAGGTGATTGTATCTAACTCATAAAACAACAACTTGTTAAATTTACATAAACAATTGTTTACCTTAAGGCTGTATTGAAATCCGTATAACAAACAAGTCGTGTCTCAAAGTGTGTTTTTGGATACGTTTAAAGGTAAACAATTTTTCATTCTCTGTGAAACCTTTCTTTATTTTTAGAGTTGGTTTTTAATTGAATATGAATCGTATATTTTATCGAATAAGAATATATTGTGCAGTTTTTTAAGAAGGGACCAACTGTACTTTACCTGTTATAGGATGGATATGTAGCTTCCCACACACAGTTTGTACAATTTTTTTATATTAAAATTATACATATTCAGAAAGAATTGAGTAGATTTCAATTAATTTCTTGGATAAAAATGTTTTACTCCTAAGATGAGCATAGTATATCATTTGTGTCAATTTTAGTTCCTTAAGGTTTTGAATACAAAATTTATAAATGTTAATCCTCATGGACCATTTGGTTCAATGGAATATTGAAAATAAACTGAACAAACTTATGATATACATTAAGGGGTCATCGGTATATATTATACATGTTTATCGTTTACCCCAAATTTTTCGGCCTGGAAACTTTTTCATGAGCCTGGCAACGTTACTTAATGTAATACAATAATTACAACATTGCAACTAAATTATGTCGATTTGGAGACAATTATCAGGTAATTCAACATCTAACGTCAAATAGGGGTATAATTATGGTAGTCGATTCGTGTATTAAAGAAAGTGGGTATTCGTAAGACGTTGCTTGTTACTTGCTCAAAAAGAAACCAAACTTTTTATTCAAATTCTTAAAGAATCTGTTTATTAAACCAATTATAGAGACTTATTAAACATTCGATAGCTATATGCAAATACTGCTTATAAGTGCACAATCTATTGGTGTCTTTGAACGCCACGAAAAGCAAAGGAACACGTGTGTATAGAGAGGGTTGAGGTATTTAAATCTGAATAACTTAAACAGTCTGTTTGGATAAACTGAAAGGTACACGTTAATTTATTTTCTTAAATTTTATTCATTCTTTAATTTAAATGAATTCCTCAGATTTTCATTTTTTATCACTTATTTTTCGTGTCTTATAATTTGTTATAAATTCTGTATGGTTTTCTGTTTGTATTTACGCGACTAAAGGATCATTGTAGTGTTATGTATATTTCATAAAAATAACTTTCACATGATCAGCATTGGTACTTTAATCTTATATAACAGCATTCTTTCTTCATCAGTAAGTCACTAAATGTTTTTGCGATTCTAGAACATTTGCCCGCTTCCGTATTTTGCTATTGGGGGCATTTGCTATTTCATGGACATTTTCCACGAAAGGGTGAAGAAAGCGGAAATATCCCCTTACTTTTAAAAAAAAATAAAAGGAAAAATTGCTATGTACATGTAATTTTTTTTTTTTGAGTATGTTCCAATGTCGCGTATTTACATAAAATATATTGTCCTTTATTGCTTTATTGTTTGTAACATACACGAATCATGATGCACTTCACTTTAAAATAATGATTAAAATGAGTTGAAAAAAAAAAGAAAGAAAATAGCAGGCGACGAAAACTACCGTGTACTTTTTAAAAACACGTGCAGAACCATTGTTTTCCGTAAACTAGCATAATAGAATTTCACCTAAAAATTTAAAAGCCATGCAATGCTAAAAAAACTGCTTTTATTTTTATTCCATAAAAGCTTTTTGTTTTTGGTGTGCTGTTATAGTTTCAAAAAGGTTACTCATTGACCAATCACTTAAATCATATTTTGAGTATGTGGCTTTCAGGGAATAAGTTAATTAAGTTACAGTGATTAAGTATTTCGTATGAAGGTAAAAATACTACTTTGTTTAAATTTTGCTACTTTTATGACAAATCATTTCACATTCAGCACAACTTTCTGCAGGTAATAACCATCTAACATACTCAAAAACCATTATTTGAACATTTTAAAACTCCTGTTTGCTCTTTATAAATAAGAAAAAGAGGCAAAATGTGCCTTAAGACCCGTGTGAAAAAAAAACATCAATGAGGAGCAAAAAATTCATACTCGAATAACGTTTAAGAAAATTTTGCGACATTGAATCTAATTAAACAATAACGTAAATGAAGATCGTAATGAAATAATGTAAATCGGTTTTAGACATGGTGGAGTACATTAAATAATGACAAATCTTCTTAACTATTGAAAATATTCAAGTCGATGCAAAGGTAAATACGTTTAACATCTTAAATCTGATCAACAGCTTTGTGTGAAAGGTTTTCCTAAATAAAGCGTGATACATATTCAAAAGCAATTTTGGTACGAGTTATACCAATGCCACCAACATTATTACACGGTTGAATAAGATAGATTAAATAAATTAATAAGTTAATTCGTTTATTTTTTAGATAATTGTATAAAACCAAATATTTGATGTGACATGTCACGTTTGATATTAAAAAGAGACTGAAGTGTACTTGTTAACATTAACCGCCATTCTAGATCATAATAAATATATCGTGATACATGTTGGTATTTTTAGATAATATCTGCTAAAAATAGCACATCAATTGTGATACATGTTGGTATTTTAAGATCATATCTGCTAAAAATATCACATCAACATTGATACATGTTGGTATTTTGAGATCATATCTGCTAAAAATCAGTGATACATGTTGGTATTTTGAGGTCATATCTGCTAAATATATCACATCAATTTTGATACATGTTGGTGTTTTGAGATCATATCAGGTAAATATATCACATCAATCGTGATACATGTTGGTATTTTGAGATCATATCTGGTAAAGTATATCACATCAACAGTGAATCATGTTGGTATTTTGAGATCATATCTGCTTAAAAATCAGTAATACATGTTTGGTGTTTTGAGATTCATATCTGGTAAATATATCACATCAATCGTGATACATGTTGGTATTTTGAGATAATATCTGGTAAATATATCACATCAATCGTGATACATTTGGTATTTTGAGGTCATATCTGGTAATATATCACATCAATCTGTATTTTTTTTGCATGTTGGTATTTTGAGATCATATCTGGTAAATATATCACATCAATCGTGATACATGTTGGTATTTTGAGGTCATATCTGCTAAATATATCACATCAACAGTGATACATGTTGGTATTTTGAGATCATATCACATCAGCCATGATACTTTCAAGAAGTTCGTGGTCACTTCTGCTCTTAAATTCAACCGTGACCAAAATAGTCCATAAAACAGTGATAAAGCTATGACGTTATCCGCGAAGACTAAATCAGTTAATTGCCTTTTGGCCAATAATAAATTATGGTGTTTTATTGCTTCGTCCGAGACCTACATTTAACACATTTTCTTTTGTTTTTCAAAAAGTATGTTTGTACTGTTTTCAAAAGCTACAGTCCCCATCACTATCTTTTAAATTTTAAGTGTTTTTTTTCAAAACTTATTTTAATATATGACAATATGAGATAAAGCAAAATCTAAATATAATAAATAAGACATAGTTTAAACATTGGAAATCATCACAACGAATATGAAAGGGAGACAAACTCGCATTGTTCACAGAACTTCATTTATGTTTAAGGGATTTTTTTTATCAATATTCAAATTTCAAACAAAAATCTCCACTTATACGTTTAGATAATCGAATTACCATCTTTGGTATAGTTGAAAATTATCATTTTAGTTTTGAAAATTGATTATAACTATGTAGGTATATGATTATGTACATGTATATACATTGTTTTTGTTTGTGTGTGGTAGGTGTGGTGTTGTACGTTACAGATATTATACAATTTTCTTTTTTCTCTCATTAAAAGACTCTACTAATAAGTTTCGTTATCACTGCTGTTGAAGATTATTTCATTCCCAGAATTATGACTGTCACGGTTAAGAACTGTTCACTATTTAGGGGAGATGATGTGTAAGCGGCCGGGTAACTCAGTCGGTAGAGCCGCGGTACGGTATTCCGAGGGTTCCGGGTTCGAGTCTCGGTCAGACTGCACATTTTCCTCACCCCGTGACATGACATTTGTTTAACATTTCAGGAAAAGAGAACCGACCATGAAAACATTATGTGTGTTTCTGTTGCTTGTATTGCTGGAGTCTTCTGCCGGATATAGATTAGGTCCGCCACTATCAGCTTGTTCTGATATGTATCCAACAGGTCATAATAATTCATCACAGACAATAGCATCACCATTCACTTTTATATTAAATACGACAACATACAGACCTGGGGATGTGATTAAAGGTAAACTAAGTATTCTTTCATATATCCAGTTATACTTACTTTAATATATGCATCAACAGTTCAATTTTTTAACACACTTATGAAAAGTTCCGATGTTACACAATATGATCAAACATTAAAAAGATATTAAATTGCAATGTTTATTGAATGTATATAAAAGAAAATGATCTGTGAGCAATTTTGATAAAAAAAAATGCACAACAAAGTCGTGCAATGTGAAAGAATACATTTCACATCATTTTTTTTTCATTTTATTTTAAGAGAGTTAGAATTTACGGTGACCGATAATATTTAAATCCCGTTCTTTTATCAAGAAAGCAATGTTTAATTTCCGAAGTTTTCAACCAGACAATAAGTAAAATATATCGCATATGTATGCAAAAATCAATATTTTCAGTATTTCTTAATTCGTCTGGTGATTGGTTTATGGAGGGAGCATTGATACAGGTTCGAGCTAAAAACTGTAAAGGTCTCACAGTTCCGGCTGTTGGCACGTTCTTTACGGAGGAAAACGAAGATTTCCTAGAAACGTTCAACTGCTTCGGAGAAACAGCTGTAAGACTTGATTTGTTTTCCCTCCAATTTTCTTCAGCAACCATTACACCATGGATATTTTAAAGTAGAGTAAAATGTGAAATATATTTCGTATGATTAATTGATAGAATAGGTCCCAGCCTAAAATGAATATGTAAGGTAGATTAGATAGACCAGGTTGCATTTAGGGTTTTGTTTCCATGAATGTCAGTCAAAGTTAAACACTTTTATTTTGCTAAATATTATTACAAACACAGCACTGACAAAATGAAAAAGTAAATACCCTTACAATATCTTTAATATTTTTCTTTAAAATATCACGAATTTTAAATTAATAAGGTTATAAAAGTAGAAAGACTTGTGGAGGAATGCAATGGCACTGAAAAAATCAAATCAAAGTGAAATTTTCAATGTTCGGAAAATACGACGTATGGTTTCAAGTAACTCAATGTATTGTTTATCAAAGTTCTAGCTAGTTTCAAATTTTTACAAAAAGAAATCTTTGTAAATATTCCATGTTTTATGTTGTTAATTGTAAGCATCTTTACAGAGTGCACTCCGCCACTACGCGCACTATCACATCTACAATAGAACATTCTACTGGACGGCACCGTCGGTGTCGGTCGGGGATGTACATATCAGGTAAACAATTATCTTATTTCAAAAGATCAACGTGACTACATGTATACGTCAGTAAATGTCATAAAGTTTTATCACATTAACGAGAGAAAACCTTAATTTTCCATCCAAATGCAATTTTATTTTGATAATATTGAGACATCAGGTTGTCTAATTGTCTATAATTCTGTCGTCCTCCTTTAATGTCTTGTAATAAAGACAAAATAAAGGCCATTAAGGTGATAAAAATCAATTAAGCAACATGCACTTTATTCAATAATTATTGACAATCTGTTCATTTCGTCTGGAAGTCTAACTGATAATATTTCATTTAAATAAAACCGTATCCATGTTCATTATTTGAAATTGCTCGTAAATTCTGTTATTAAACTGCATCAGTTTTGGAATTAACGTCAACGTTGCATATCAGATACACCATTTGAGCATTGAATTGTATTAATTTTTCATAAGTCAACTTTGTTATTTACGAATGGATGTCCTTCAAGACTTAGACAGAATCCCATCGTTTATAGACCTATGTCGTCTAAGAAACAGAACTTAATTAGTCACTTGTGAACAAATATAGCCATGACCCTATTACCTGGATGCGTCAAGTATTTGGTAATAAGAGAAGTTTCTTTTGCTTTATTGGCTATAAAACTTTATAGTTTTTAAAGACCTGCGCTGTGAATTATCTGACCTAAATACTAAGTAATCATTGACCACCTATTCAAGCGAGAATAACTCGAAAAAAACAGAGGTCGATTGCACATTCAGCGTCTTTTTACTCGCTTTTACAGTGATATTCTGTATAATATATACTCAGTATATTATAAGATCAAAGAAAGTTTAAAAATCAATTCTCATTCTGTCAGCTATTACGCATTCTGAATGATGTCCATATATGTAACCCAAACATACACCCCATATACTAAACTACTCAAAACCATTAAATTCATTCTCCTTTAAAAATCACATATGATAATTCATATCTAAACGGACAAATTATTCTGAAATATTTTCCGACACTTTCAGCAGACAGTTGACTGGGTTTGGAGCGCTCAAAACGCCTTTAAAAATCCAAATTAAACCTATGCTAAACTATTCTGTCCTGCCAAATCACCCAGGCACTGTTGACTGCAGCTATATATCAAACAAACTTAATAATAAGCCGTTTTGACAAAAAATCAGTATAATTCACACCTTCTATAATAATACACAGATAAAAATCAGTTCGCCGCGTCGTAAAATCCGCCCCTACGTTACATCACATGCTTATTTTAATTCCATTTCCAAATTATGTTCACATAATCCTTTGCATCCATCGACACAGAAGATATAAAGCTTCTTCACGAATGCATGGTCAGATTTCTAAACTCTCAACTCGTAAGTATAAAACAACGCAACAGCCCGAACACACTAAACATCACGCATCAATAATTTCGCTTTATTTTTCCACTACAAAAATCACTTATCGTATAAATTCAATGGACAGACGGCTAGTGCAACCGAAGCAATATCCGATCTATGTGGCTCCCCCAATATCTCTAAAAGCGCTCGCCATACTTGCACAACTGCAAGGCTTGGCGGCCCACATTAATCGGCTAGCTTCGATATCAGTAGCCCGTCCGTGGTCCATTGAATTAGTCGAACAATTTTGATCTGTGAAGTTGGAAAAACGGCATCATATTGATGTTATTTCGGCTGTTAGCGCTTGTTTTAATATTACCGCTTGAAGTTATAAAATTTGCCGACCATCATCGTGAAGAATGGTATATCAGGAATTCCTGTGTCGAGATCTGGACCATAAGAATTATGTGAATAATAATTGGAACAACTGGAACTAAACATACATGGTGATTATGAACAGGGTAGGACAGTGCGCGATTTTTCCGCAGCTAAGCAACGTTCTTATTATGTTGTGCATCATTATCTATAGTTGTGTCGAATATATGCATTTTTTTTTCAAAACGGAAATTATATTAAGTTATTTTTGACGTATATCATGATCAAGTACATTCCTGCGAAATTCGACCACAGATATATTGCATCAATTTATTTGCGATTTAGCCTTTATAAGCGCGTTTTGAGCTCCAACCCCCAACCTGTCATGTGATTCTATACTATTTACGCATCTACTTTACCTTGAATATGCTTTTAATTACCTTATACCGAAGTATGTTGACTCTTTCACTTTTATGGGAATTAAGTCTGATGAAGCACTTTGCAGGAATGTTCGGCCTCTCCTTTCGCCGACCATGTCGCCACTCCCGGCAGCAGAGACGGCTATATTACGCATTACGGATTTTAACTGAAAAAACCAACCTAAAATCCGAGACCATCCAAAAATTTAAGCTTAGCTTCCCAGCCTTTTCTAACATTTATCTATCAGGCTAGGATCCAAATATATTTAGCCAATCAAACTTTGAGCTTTACAGTATAGCCGTCCAAAAAAACACCATTCTCACTTCTACACGCCATCTTGTGTGTGCGCCAGCATATTGTTTTTGCCCAGCGGCCCAAAAACAATAAAAAAAAAAACACTCTATAACTGTGAATAAATGCTTTTTTTTATGGTCATTCTTCCCCAGTCTACGATATCATACTTTACACTGAGCTATTGGATTAAGCCGAAGTCTTTCACCAGATCGCTGTTACTCCCCTGCTAATAAGTTTTTCGTCTTAGGTTCACCATTAACATATAACCCGACGATTCTGTTACTTGTGCATTTCTTTTTCTTTTTTCCTTCCGATCATTTTCATCCCCTTTCCAGTATTTAGCTGTATATATTTTACCTGGCTGGATCGGAGGCGGGCATCGGGATGGATCATGAACGATAAAATAGAGCGAAAAAACGAATAACCACACACCACCTACTATTTGTGTTGCATTATTGTTCGTAATCGCATTCTAACCCTCCGTTAGTTTCCCACTTATTGTATGCTAATGAAAGTTAAATTGAATTCTAACTTGTAACTATAGATAGTATTTAGAGGCCTATTTATTAACCAATACGTATACTCTATAAGTTATATGCCCTAACTTAATTGGAAAAACATCAAAGACCTTCTGCACCATCTTATATCTGTGAATCTGGCGTCTCCAAATCTCCCCGTCCGCGATCGCTCTAATCTGTCTATCTCTCCGGATCTTGTTCTGAAAACAAATATTCATTGAACGTCTCAATTCCTGGCGATCTCTTTATATTTTAATTATTGATTCTTCCCCCCACGGGCTTTTCTGAAAATTATAATCTTGAACATGGTTCAATTTCCGGCGAGCCTATTTTGTTTAATAGGATCCCGCACTTTATCTTGCTGAAATTGTTGACACACTGTGTGATTTACTTTAGGACTTGTATCTGTCACTATTTTCCAATACTAAATAACATACTTACAACTTAACTTTCGTATAAGGAACATTTTTCATGATATCTAACTTATCTACTTTTTTTCGGTTCAAGGTCAACAGGCATTATATAGTAAATGTCATAGACATAGCGACTTCATTCATATCTGTTTACATGCATCCTTCATATATAGCTCATATCTCTTGTTAAACTGCAGAGAAAGCTGGCTTCCCTTACATTCATACTATGTCACTTTTTTATTTTGATGTCGCTGAGTCTTTTCAGCATAACAGAACTGTCATTTTATACATGTTAAACACGCCCCTGGAAAAAATTAACGAAGCGAGTTCGCTACTAGCCTTTTTAAAGCCTTAACCTCTGTCCTGCTTTAATTTATAAATTATTAAAAAACTGATAAAAATTGCAAGCACGCTGTCCGAGGACAGATCTATGTTTTTTTCTTTCTTCTTTTATTTTTTAAATTTTGGTCTCCAGTGTTATGAGAAGTGTAATTTCTATATATATTTTATGTATGCCATCTTCAACATTTTTTGTATTATAACCTATACATGTTACTATAGGCTGCTTGAGTGTGTGTATAAGTGCAAACTTTGGCAGCTAGTACTTGTTGAGAAAAGCACGTACACCCTACCATATCTGTTAGATTAGTACATTAACACGAATGCTAGATATTTATACAAGTTATTTAATGGACCGATACATGCTAAAGGTTTAAAATGAGCTAGATTTTCAAACGGATCTTTATTTTTTTGTTCTATATTATAACAGCAAGGCAACCAATAGCTAGGACATCGGTCGTCGCTAATATTCTGGCGATGTAATGTCTGACCATTTGAAGACGTGAGTGACGACCAGGGAACAACGTGTGGGGCCATGCACGTGGCTGTTACATCAGTCACACTTGTTGTAGCTGTATTACTAGCCACGATGTTTAAATGACATATCAAATATTCATTTTGAAAAACCTCAACATTCAATATCTGGTATTATACCTTGAATATATCCACAATCATGTGTTATTGTTATTGTACACGTAATATAATGAACGTATCTGGTTTGTACGAGGGCGCCTAGCCCCCGAGTTTAAATTTCCGAGTGTTTTATTTGTATTTTAGGCAAAAAAAAGAGAAACACTTTCCCTGTTGTTACAATATGAAACACCAGAAATAAGTAAGCAAGTGCATGTTCATTTTTCCCCAAAACACAGTGCGGTAAGTGGAGTGCGGGTAACTAAATACCTGTACTCCAGTTAACGCACTGTTCATGTATGTGTGTTCACATATTTGTAATAGAAAGAGCACCGAAACACGAGGTTATCTGATTTGTACGAGGGGGCGTAGCCCCCGAGTATTAATCAGATTACCGAGTGTTTTGATGTTCTTTCTCTTTTGTATCATAGTCGAATATAAATACACGTTCCCTGCTTTTACAATATGAAACCCCGTCAAAAATGAACCAATGAACGAATATCTGAATATGATATTTCTGTCGTTTTCCCTTTCTCTGCCGTCACAATATGTAAACCCCAGCAAAAATGAGCCAATCAATGGGCATGCTCTGGAGTGCGGGTAACTAATACCCGCACTCCAGTTAACGCACTGTGCATGTATATGTATACGATTTAACCCCGACACATTTTCAACAGAAAGGTCTCCAAACTATGATACAATCAAAAGAAAGCTCCCCCAAACTATGATATAAACGCTGCCTAGACAGTTCGTTGTAATTTTTGTGTAATTTGATACTCTTTATTTTTAATTCCAGTACTTCTACATTAAATTACAGCTATGTCCCTTACCCTGATTCTTATAAGGCTTTTTCATATTTTGTATAGTGCAATTGTTTTGATACAGCTTTTGTAATGCAGTTGAATAATAAACCTATAAACAGATTACTTGCTTGTTCGTATCATGTTTGGAGGATTGCATGATTATATCACTCTCTATCCTGCCAAAGATCATCCATGGCAGCAGACGCATTTATGATTAATTCCATATAAAAGCCCTACTTATAAAGAATCACTGACCTACTGTTACATATGGTATCCCGCCAGGGCCATCGCGACACACATATCTCGAAGCAACGAAAACACGAACAATGGTGTAAAGTCAAAATAACGAAACCACGGTATTGACAAGTCGAACGTATGACAATGAAAGGTCGAATGCAATGGTGAAAAGTCGAAAAAAAATGAAACCACGATGTAGGAAAATTCGATATAATTCGAGTTTTCACATTTAGTCTTTTCACCATCGTGATTTAGTAATTTCGACTTTTCACCATCGTACTTCCAATTTTTCATTATCTTAGTTTCTTCATTTGGATGTCAAAAAATATTAATGTAAATTCGTAATAAATAAAAACTTGCTTTTGTTTACATCTAAAATCATATGATAGAACTACTTTCAATCCATATTAAGCCCGAGGTTATTATCAATAACAGGCGAGATTTGCCGATTTGTTATTTATGTATAAGTAACTTAATGTACTTTTGTACTTATATGAAATAAAATAATGCTTCAAAACATGTATGAAGCAGATAAGTATCCAGTGTGAAACACAGGTCTTTAATCATCTTGTAAGAGATGTGGCGAAAATGGCGCACCGACTATTCATTTTGTAAACGTTATAAAGGCCCGTTACGCCTGAGAAATGTTTTCTGTTACTCAAAAGCATTTTATTCTTGGGTTTCTGTTTTAGTTGCCAAAAAGTTGGCAATTGCCTGAGCCATCTTTGACTCCTGTTGCTTTTTGGCAACTGATAAAGCAAATTCATTTAGTATTTTGAAGGAAGTCAAGGTCATACTTAATTTACAGTTTGTGGCTTTGGTGACAAACCATTTCATAGTTTCTTTCTTCGGGTGAAAAGAACGTAACATGCTCAAAAACAAATGTAAACAAGCGTTTTAAAACCCATACTAAATAAGGAAGAATTTACTTGTTTCTGAGGCACGACGTGTAAGCACACAAACACTTATGACGGCACATAGAAAACATGTTCCTAGAATTATTATCAATCATTGTTATTGCTTTTTGCAATAAGTTATTAAAAATAATGCCATGGTATAAAATTTCATGTATAATTAAAGTACACTGAAGTTACACGGTTATGAAATTATATCTTTAAATAAAACGCAAGCAGAAAATATATGTGATACATTAGGATGGACAGACTAAAGTAGAAGTATTAAATGTGTTACATAGTATTTCTTAATACTTTTATTTTAACGGTTTAAGAAATCAAACAAGAAATTACGGACCTTATAAAGTAGTTAAAATACAGGAGTAATATAACAAGAAATGATTTCGTCATAGGAAACTTGATTCTGACCAATAATAATAATTTGAGCCACGTCACGACAAAACCAACATAGTGCGTTTGCGACCAGCATTGATCCTGACAGTGCCCCAAGTGGCTAACAGGCAGAGATGAAAGTCACTTTGATGTAAAGACTGACATAGGATCATGAGTTTTGTACATTTTTATTTAGTAGTTAATCGTTTAACATGTTATCACTTGCTTTTCAGTGAGATTATTAACTTACTTTTAAGAAGAAAACGCCTCTAACCCATAATTACATGTTTTTGTACTACATTGTATAAAATTCATTCTTAGTTTTGTAAGAATAAGCTGGCGGTTGGGGTTGGACACTTTAAAGCCCTCGAGTATAGCTGTAGGCAAAGTTAGATAAAGCCCAGTCCAATATAAGCCAATTTCACAAAATAAGGCGATTAAACATGTACAATATTTTTTTCTTCACAATCCCATATGAGACATATCCTTTAGAATATGGACGATAGTTCGCCCCAAACTTAACAGATAAAGTCATTTGAGCAACCCTCAATCTATCTGTGAAGAATGATATAGAATGGAGGCAAGCGTCCTTTTGACTAAAACTACCTTCAGTTAAAAGGCAAAACAAAACAAAACGATTTCTTCTATATCATTTGCTGAATCAGCAATCTTACTATGAATTGTACAGTAATATTTATATTTCACCGGTCCAGGGTATTTCATAAATATAAAAAATATCAAAAAGATGTCATATAGATTAATTTATTAATAATTAATGAATAAACTATTCAATTCTAAGACTTCTAAAACTTCATTTGGTGACTTCGAGGTGTTTTGAAAAGTACATTTGTAATTACATTTTACACTAAAGATTATTATAATAATTATTTTAATGGTCTATCATATACCAAATGTTTTACATTTCCCTACCTGAAAACAGTGCAGACTGAATTTTTGTCTGTTATAATGAAACCGATATATATAACATTGTTTTACAAAAGACATACTTAACATTCCGTAATGTGCAAATGAAACATTAAGTAAAAGAGAGCTAGCCTAAGTCTACACTTTGATTGTTTATAGAAGGGAAATAGCTTTAAGAGGCTATCAAAGGGGAACAACTTCAGTATTGAAGATACATTATGGTACAACAATGTAAAAAAAACAACAAAAAAACCCCAAATTCTTTTAAAAAGCAACAAACAACACCCTAACCCGAGTAATAACAAAACCCCGAGTTTTAACATGCTAAAATGTATCTATGTCATCTTTCACAATGACAAACAGTAAAAGTTCAGCTTTTGCAGCTTTAAACAGTAGTAAATGGATTTTTTTTTCGGTTGGGTTTTAGGTCACATCGCAACTGTAAATGTCATATGGCGACTTTGTGGCTTTACTGATGGAAGACGACCTCATCTGCACCTCCGAGCATAATTTCAGGCACGAGTGAACACATAAGTAAAACAACTGACGTTCCGTAGGCTAGCTTAGCAGCTTCCTCACATGAAAGAAATCGGACGTCTCTGATGGGATCTGAACCCACAGCGGTGTTGGATAAGTTGTTCGAATTCCGTCAGGGGTAAAAGTAGAGAATTATTCCAAACGAAAAGATGACAGACCTTTCTATGTCAACTATAAATAAACACAAAACGTCTAATTGATGTTAACTGTAGCGAATGTCTCGAAAGCCTAATAAAGCAAAGCGTGTGCATCTTATGCCATTCTTGGGTTCTTTTTATTTTCCTGGCCATAAAAGGAAAGTGGCAGTTATAGCATTTCGTCTTTGATACAGGTACCCGTTTATTTCTCATGCAATGATCAGCAGCAGTTTTCATATAAGCTTGAAGTACTCTTCATTATTAAAGATTTGAATACGGCAGTGGCGGAGTAATTGAAGAATTTCGAATCTCGGGATGAAAGTATGGAAGAGTTGTGTAATTCTGCGGGATCCCAACTACAGATGGGGGTAACTCGTACTCAAGTGAATTCTCCTCAATTTGGTAGGCGTACTCTAACTTTTCTACAAAAAAGTAAGGAACAATTAACACATTGTGTGTTATCAATGGATTATTTCCTGTATGATATATGAGGTGTTCGAAGTTTAAACTGATAGTATGTATTTTTTATTAAAGACATTTATTAGGTAACATATTTTAATTCATTTTGTTGAAATACAAACGAACTGTAGAAGAGCCACCATTCGAGAATAAGTGTTTTCTTATAGTCTTATTATTGACAATTGGATAGCATGAATTTTTGGAAACTTTTGCTTTTATAGAAATATAAATATATTCCGCTTACCTAAATCTTCCTTTATCCTTTTATTTTTTAACTTCCTGTTGCGCGCGCAGCATCCCACAATAATAGCTACTACACCGACCGCCAATATTGATACAATCACTATCACAAGAACCCTTTCTTGGTAAACGTCTCTAAAAGCATACAATATATAATTGTAAATTAAAGTCATTAAAATAGTTTATACGACCAAGTTGTTTAGCACTTTTTCATATATCGGAAGCATATTTCATGTAAAATTTATTAGGTTCTCGAAAAATACAACGGCGCTCTCACATACATGTACGCAATAATTATGAAAATTAATTTGTATACGGAAGTACTATGGCGTGTGGAACGTTGCAAAATTCGAAAAATATTTTTATGTAATACAATTTTACAACTATATTATTTTTTTCATTTATGTTCCATAAATTATATATATATCACAGATATATAAACAAATCTTATACATGTATTTAGCAGTTTCCGATAAAAATATGAGGTTACTTACACATTTCTCAAAAAGAACGTCTCCGATTTAAATAAACTTTTGATATTATTCTAAATAAAAACTGGATTCCTGAATTAGACATGCGCATCACAAATGTTTTATTTAGGGTTTTATAATAGTAAATAGTCGGAAATCATGATATTTAATTAACATGTCATCTGCAGAGTTTTCACTGATGGTTCATGCGCATTGACCGGTTCCGAACAATCAAGCGAGTCATTCACGTAACCGACAATAAATATATTATATAAATAAAAATATCACTTGTTTTGGTGAAATTCAGCTTTTATATTGTATAAAAGTATTTATGTTCTATATTTTTATTTATATTTCAAACGCATGTATTTATATGATATGATATGAAATATTTTGTGTGTAAAAATTACACATTTATATTCTATAAAAACCAAAAAAAAAAAAAAAAAAAATATTCGTTCAATACTGCGTCATGGGTAACACGATAAGGATAACATGACAGCACGTTAACGAAAAATTTAATGCGATAGTACGATATATTATCGCATTATCATTATCGCATCATCGTAATTTCTATTTTCGCTTTCGCACTGTCGCGTATCTAATGCAGGGTATCACTTAAATTACATAGTGACTTATATATAGTTTAATAGTGAATAGTATTTCTGACTCAGGGGCAAGATGCTGTGATCTGATACTACCCATACACGTCCCCTCCGGTCCTTCTAATGATACTACCTATATCCCGTCCCCTCCAGTCCTTCTACTGATACTACCCATACCCCGTCCCCTCCAGTCCTACTGATACTACCCATACCCCGCCCCCTCCAGTCCTTCTACTGATACTACCCATACCCCACCACCTCCAGTCCTTCTACTGATACTACCTATACCCCGTCCCCTCCAGTCCTTCTACTGATACTACCCATACCCCGTCCCCTCCAGTCCTACTGATACTACCATACCCCGCCCCCTCCAGTCCTTCTACTGATACTTACCCATACCCCACCACCTCCAGTCCTTCTACTGATACTACCTATACCCCGTCCCCTCCAGTCCTTCTACTGATACTACCCATACCCCGTCCCCTCCAGTCTTTCTACTGATACTACCCATACCCACCACCTCCAGTCCTTCTACTGATACTACCTATACCCCGTCCCCTCCAGTCCTTCTAATGATACTACCCATACCGCCCCCTCCAGTCCTTCTACTGACACTACCCATACCCCACCACCTCCAGTCCTTCTACTGATAGTACCTATACCCCGCCCCCTCCAGTCCTTCTACTGATACTACCTATACCCCGCCACCTCCAGTCCTTCTACTGATACTACCCATACCCCGCCCCCTCCAGTCCTTCTACTGATACTACCCATACCCCGTCCCCTCCCGTCCCTTCTACTGATACTACCATACCCCGTCCTTCTACTGATACTACCCATACCCCGCCCCCTCCAGTCCTTCTACTGATACTACCCATACCCCCGTCCCCTCCCGTCCTTCTACTGATACTACCCATACCGCTTCCCATAAAATAATATGCAAACATCTAACATGATAATTAACTACAGAAAATATTGTTGTTGAATAGACATTAGATATACGGAAGCTCCCAAAGATTGTCAAATTTAAACATACTGTTGATGTTTTAAGTGTTTAAATACATAAGCAAGTTATAAAAGTGAAAACATACTCGTGATCATTGCACGTGCAAAGCTTCTCTGTTTCACCATCACACACGCAGTCCCCATTGTCACCTGACCCATCACAGACACCTACAAAATATGACGTGCACATGCATTATTGAACTTACGCATTTTAACCAAATAGAAAATATAACATGCATGTATATATTACATATAATAGGTTTGTTTGTTTGTTTGATTGGGTTTTACGTCACACCGACACAGTATAGGTCATATGGCGACGTTCCAGCTTTACTGGTGGAGGAAGACCTCGGTAGAGTAGATCCACCGATGTTCCCTAAGCTAGCTGGATAGCTTCTTGGCATGAAAGAAACCAAAGTCCCTGTCGGGATTCAAACCACAAGGTGGGAAGGACAAGGCAAAAAGCACGTAGAATATAGCAGTGATTAATGTATTCATATAAAGAAATTTTGCTTATGAAATATTACGCCGTAAATATATCTTATATATATATATATTTATTATCTATTAAGAAATTCAAATAATATTGAAGCAGACGATATTAAAATAAACTTACTTATAAAGGAAAATAAAAGCAGGTAACAAACTATCCAATCCATATTTTACGCCAGAATAATATTCAGTGAGCCTGGATTTTGACTTTTTATTAATTTTCTCCTTTTATATAAGTGTTTAATCCGATGGAACGTGACTGGTAAATTTATTTTTAAATTCTACAAATGTTAAACTAACATACATATATGTTCTATTTTCATAGCCAAGTAAACATTAGTTCATGCGAATAATTCAATACAGTTTTCGATATCATTCGAATATTAATCTTAAAAAACATATGACTTATGTTTGTTTTATATATTTGATAGAACGACATATTAACAGCTAAGTAGAAAGTTAATTAAAACGCTTTTTTAAGTTATGCTTTAGTCATTGAATCCTTGGGGCCATTAAAGTTCAATTAATTAATTATTGATTAATTAATTAATTTTATCTTGAAGGGTGGAGGAATGGTTTGCGTCACACCAACACAGTATAGGTCATATGGCGACTTTAGAGGAATACTTAAGGGGTCCTTCTGTGCATTATTTCAGACACGAACAAACCAACGACGTTCCGTAAGCTAGCTGGATAGCTTCCTCACATAAAATAATAAAAATTTCCTGTCGAGACTCGAACCCAGAGTGGTGAGCGGCAAGTGGTTTGAAGTCAACAACCTTAACCACCCGCTCACGGACGTCCCCGACCACAAACAGTATAAATTCTGAAGAGAAAACCCCTATAGGAGACAAAGAGAGTTAGTTATTGCTGAGAGATTGAACTTTTTGACAAACTTCTGGAAAAAAATGACGTAATTATAATTATACTAGTATGTAAAGAGTTTATTGCTCTACTGAGGTCCGCTCTGCACAGGTTACACTGTACTAATGGAACCAGCTAGACTGATAAGTAATAAATTATTTTCTTTTCTTTGTATATACCTATAATTCTTAAAACATGAATATAAGGAGATCTGTAAATTTCAATACAGGTATGTAACCATTGAATTTTCTAAAACCAAGTGATTAGCTCGATGAAAGCGATACGATGTTAACATTGAAATAATTATTATAAAAACATGCTAAAATCGTCACAACTGAAATGTAATTGTTAATTGCAATACATGTATATTGAAAAGGAAAAAAAGTTATTACTGTGCGACTGAAGTTTGTTGTTTAAAGTCATAGCTTAAGATCTTAAAAAGGTATTTAAGAATATTTTCCTCAAGAAAATTCTCTTTTCATTTTGATTTGTGCTTTCGGAGCGACCTTTAAGTAAATTTATCTAAAATCTACTACTAATCAATGGGTAATTTCAATCTCTGAACGTGACACGGATCGTATACAATATTGACTTAGGTGAACTCAGTACTTTATGTTCACAAAGAATCAAAAACAACTTGAACACTATTTGTTAATTTATAAAGGCTTATGACATTTTCATTTCGCCTTGATTGTGAAACAAACTATTTCCCTTAAACCTTATATCTTCTCCTTAACATTACTAAGAAGAAACAACCAAACACAAATTTCATAAATTCATATTTAATTGCGGAAAGCAGTTGGGTCGCTATACTGAACTCTGAAAGAATAAAAAGGAATCTTATAACAGTTTTCTATCACATCAAGTATATACTGATTATCCCTTCTCCTCTCCATTTTTTGACTAGGGGCCTAGTAACCTTAGTAAAAATATAACAAGCGCTGCTCAAACCAAATGGGAGTACAAGAAACTTGTAATAAGAAATCTTACTATCTTTATCAACCCATGAAAATCCCAAAATTTCGGTATGTGGCGGATAAATCTCAATGAAATGGTACGCACTAGTGGTGTCGAATTTATCATGTGACAATCTTTCTTTAAGAAAGATAAGCTATTCTTAAATCCTCAAATTTGACCGACTGTTTCCAAATATGCTTGTTGACTGCTCTTAAATCTAAAATCAATCGTTTCTTACTAGAATTTTCAGACACTGTTAAAGGGTTGACAATAAACGGTGGAGCTGAACATTTTTCTATAAGAGCACGGTCTAATAAATCTTGAATCGCCTCGGAAACGAACTGAATTTCGTTTGCAGCAGACCTGTTATTTTTCAAAAATGTCTCAGGTGGCAAAGAATGAAAAGGAATCTTATAACCGTTTTCTATCACATCAAGTATATACTGATTAGTACCAATTGAACGCCAAAAATCAATATGCTGCCTTAAACGGCCCCTAACAATAATTTTCTTTTGGCCTTGTTCATACTCAAAATAGTCTCTGGTAAATCTTTGATTCATCTTTCAAAGTGTCAATGTTCTTTAGCTCGTTTGCTTGTCGTTGGGTTCTACCGCCTGTATTTGGACAGTCCCGCCGGAAGTGGCCGAGGTTTCCAAATGCGTAGCATGGCCCTGATGCTGTACCGTAGGTCGCGCCTGAACCTGCCCCGTAGAATCCACGAAAGGACTGCATTCTCTGAAACGTATGTTGCTGCCGTGATTGAAATGAAGGTGCAGGTGCTCCCCATGTTTTGCCGTGATAGTAGCCAGATGTGCAAGGATGATTATCGTAAGACTTGCCCCCTTGCCGCCCCTGGAACTCGATCTTTTTAAGCGCACGATTTTCTGCCTTGTTGATTTTGGCATCATCTTCTGAGTCGCTTGCGATTGGATTTGCCTCGTATGATCTGACTGTGTCCCAGCAGCCCCCGGGACTTCCATCGGCGATTCTAAGCAACTTGTTGCGCTTTCTCAGTGAGTTTTGATAACAACTCCTTCGAATAATCGAATTTACAATGTTCAATAGCCCAAGCACTCTGTTTGGCTAATTCTTCGAGCTCTGAATTGAAAATAAATTGAATCTTGTTACCCTGGAATTTCCAGACGAGTTCTTGTTCTGATCTCAACTTCTGAAGCCAAGTTGAAAATGTTGCCCTGAAGTTCTTGTTTCAATGATTGAACTTCTTCCCGCTGAGTTTGTAATTTGTCAAGAACACGTTGAAGTTGGTTTTCAACCCGTGAAGTTTCGCCCGGTGAAGACAAGCCGCCATTTATGCCGCCGTTTGCCACGTTGCCATTTTCCATCATACAAAAATAATAGACGTGTAGAATGGTCAGTAACCCAAAGCTGAACTGACACATAACTTGACTACCCGCACGAAAACTTCGTGCGCTAATCGCAACCCCTATCGGAGACTTGACACGATTGAAGGGAAAATAATTTCTTTCTAATTCGTCTGCTCAAACGAAAGAAATTATATAAGGTTAAATATTTACACGCTTACAGGACGTATCTTATATGAGATCCGTTCTACATTTCTTACAGTACAGATCAGTCTATATTTCACCAATTTTAAGACGGGTGTACATGTATATATTTCTTTCAGGACGATCACTTGTAAGGCGGAGTATACATGCCTTTAAACCATTGTTAAGGGACATCTACCAAAGCGATGTGTCAATAAATTTCATGTGATATAATGTTGTTATATCAAACAGCACAATTGGTGTGGAATACTTAGGAGTTTCGGCTACGGTTTAATTCAATAAGATAACAAGTCAAATTTCTGTGAAAATCTTAACATGTTTTTTATTAAAACCAAAGCATAATTTATCAATGTCTAATTGTATGACAACAAAGAAATCATTGCACTCATCAAACATACTATATAATTACAAATAAGAGCCGCGTCACGACAAAACCAACATAATGCGTTTGCGATCAGCATGGATCCTGACAGGCCTGCGCATCCGCGCAGTCTGATCAGGATCCATGATGTTCGCTATCAGTTTCTCTACTTGTACTAGGGTTGGTAAGCCTGATCAGACTGCGCGGATGCGCAGGCTGGTCTGGATCCAGGCTGGTCGCAAACCCAATATATTGGTTTTGCCATGGCACGGCTCATATAACAATGTGAAATGACTGATACACTTTATAAGTATTGAAAAAAAAACAACATGAGAAACATATGCTTAACCCATTCATCACAGATATCAATGGTTCTTATTCAAAAGTTGCATGTCTGAATATGAGCACTGTTAGATTATTTCAAGTGGTATTCAGATTAAAAGTGGATTTGTCTACAATGGGTATACTTTCAATAAGCATTTCAAATATTGATAAAAAAATATACAGGAAATGTATCATTTGGATAGTTGTTAAGTATATTTCTTGAAAAACAAAACAAAATCATAACAATGCTGATAAGAGTTCTAAGGGAATTTAGTGTGATCATTTATGTGACCAATTATAATACTGTGTTCAATAAAAATTTATTATCTGCTATATATTATTATGATACATTAGATCATGTATCACCCTGATATGTCACCTTCTCAAAATAAAGTTATTATTATTATTACTATTATTATTATCTCACAAATACCAACAACATCCAAATATAATTCTTTCATAGTTTGTAGTCATGTATCATACAGAGTAATTTATGGTATTAGACTTTCCATTACAGAACAATTCACTTTAAAGACACCCTTGATTTTAAAAGGAGTCTTCACAAAAAGTCACTAACACAGCAATGAATAACATTGTTATATTTGTTTTGTCTGCCTTAAAATTAATTACACAACTCAAAAAATGCATACCACTTGAACTATCTATCAGTACTAATGTTACATCTTTACAAAATGACATTATTACATCACAAATACATAATACAGCAACAAATAATTTATAAACAGAAGGACAGGAGGATAAATGTGGTCTATGTAAAGTTCTTAGAAAATAATTCTTAGCCAATGAGAAACTGCATAGAAGACCTAACCAATATAATTTCATAAAGTTAAGGAGAGTTATGTAACATACTTGTATCAATTATATGAACAAGAATCATTCCAAAAAATAAATGCAGCCTTTTGAATCAAAATTGAGGTATTGCATATTCGTTTAACCTTAAATTCTGCTCAAGATTAATTTTGCATAAACAAATAAAACTGTGTATAATTCAAAATGAACTTCTTTTCTTGAACCATAACTTTTCAGGAGTATAGACCAGTATGTCAATTAAGGGTATGTGTCACTAACATTAAATGATATAATAAATTCAATACTGTAAAAACAAAAAAAACATATGAGCCGTGCCATGACAAAACCAACGTAATGCCTTTGCGACCAGCATGGATCCAGACCAGCCTGCGCATCCGCGCAGTCTGATCAGGATCCATGCTGTTCGCTATCAGATTCTCTATTTGTAATAG